GAAAGAGTATAATCTTGGATAAAGGAAGAACTGCTGCAAAATACCAAGAATAAAACTAAACCAGCAGAAAAATCATGAAATGCATTATCTAAAAAAGAAAAAGGGAGGGGGGGCAAGATGATAGAAAATGATACAAGAGAAAGAAACAAACAGAAAAAAGTAAATAAGCAAAAAATTGTTACTTGCAGGATGCAGCAATTGCCATTGTGTTTGGAGTGTCTAGGCTTTTGTTTTCATAGGGAGAACTGGAGTGGATTAAAGTCTTTAGGTGGAAGAGTACATTAGGGGAATGAAACAAGACCACTCATAGGGTATTTGTGAGGCAGGACTCCTTTGGCTCCGAAGAAGACTAACGGGCACATTGAATAAAGCCTGCTGAATGCAGTAAAGTAGGATTTAAAATCTGACAGTTGCAACTGAATCATTCCTCAGTGAGAACCTGCAGTGGAGGCCAGTACTTTATCTGACCTTGTCTATTCCCTGTATTATATTCATGAAAAAGAAAAAGCCTTTAAAATCTCTCCTGCAGCTTAGACTACAGTGTTTTACCACAAATTAATTGAATGTGAAGCACTGTTCAGGGCATAATTGTGAGCATGTAGGGCTTTAGTATGTTTTAACCTTTCAAATCTTACTGAAACTGAATGAAACTAGAGCACTGCTGTCAATTTTAAAAACTATTTGCTTCATTTAGAAGGCTTAGCTTTGCAGTTATGAGGTGCAACTGTCATGCAACTTCATTATTTCCAGACTGCTTACAGAGGGATGCAATTGTAGAAGGTTGAGATGAGTCGTTTTCCTTGCACATCATAGTGCATCATCATCCACTTGGTGGTGTCATCTCTTTTGTCCATCAAAGAAAACCACTAAATCACTATTTGAAAAATAAAAATCTTGGTATATCACATTTCCACGGTTCTCTAGACAAAAAAAAAAAAACTTTCCCCCAACACATTCCATTTGGGTTTGGCAGTGTGCAACTTGGTTTAGTTATATAGACATTCAAGGCCAGAATTGGAAGGTCTGAGAAAAATTAGGTAGGTGCTTCTACAGGCTGCCTTTAAATAGCAGTGTCTAGGGCTCTGAGAAAGTGTATAAAGTAATGATGGAAGAAAGCCTAAGAAAAATTCTGCAGAGACTACAGTGGGACAACACATCTCAGCTCCTCTTTCTATGTGTTAATCATCCAATGAGTAGAGTTTGGGATGGGTGTTCCTAACATTTCGCTCTTCCTAGCAAAAATTGAATATTTCATTCCACTATTCCTGTAAATAATCTCTACTCAGGGATGTGTTCTGAACACTACAAAACTCTCTCGCTGTTAATTTTGTACATTTAAATAAACATATTTTATATTTATTTTTATATCAAACTAAGGTTGAATAATCACACACACTAGTCATGCAAAACATACACTTCAGACAAAGCAAAATTCCTAGAAATAATAAGGTAAAATATAAATTAGGCAACACTTTTCTATTTTAGCAATGGTTATCTCCCATTGTTACCTTGATTTAGCAACAAATTCTGGGGTGAGGAGGAAAGGGGGAAAGACAGATAGCCCAGGTAGTCTCCCTTAGTGTAAGGAAAACACATCTTTGATATTGAATAATTTTGTAGACTTGGGAGAAAAAGGATGTATGCATCCTTCTCCATGCGTATGAAAGGGAATAGCTATTACATATTAGATAGAAGTTTATGAAATGAAGCTGTGGAAAATTGGGGAAGAAGCATGTTTCTTAAAATTTTACAATCAGAATAGAAGTAGTTATTGTAAGTAGAATAGAAGTATTAACTCTTTAAATACACATAGGGAAGAAGGTGATTTCCACTTTGGGAAGCACTTTGCTCCCAGAAGAGGGTGGAATTATGATGTACTACTCATGCTAAATAAGTATTATCTGTCTTCTCACTAGAACAGAAGTCTTTGTCAGGGATCTCTAAAGATTACAATATATTGGTTTTAGTAATGCTTACAATATACCTAATGTAACAGAAGCAGACAAGAATTTCATTTGACTTGTGGTGAAAAAAAAAAAAAACCAAAAAAAAAAAAACAGTGTGCTGCTGGAAGGTTTGTGGAAGCTTGATCATTTGCTAGTAATTCCACCTTTGAGATATTGCTACTGCAAATCCATTTTCATGAAGCCGTATGTTGTATGTGAATCTTAGAGTTG